TGGAGGGGCTAACAATGTTCAAGAGGAAGTGTACTCATTACCTCACTCATGTAACTGTAACCCTCTGTATAGTATCTTTACAATAAAAATAAATAAATAAATAAATAAAAATTTAGGGACAGATTAAGCTCCAGGATTGCCCCCCCCCAAAAAAATAAATCCTTTTGGCTTGAAAAAAAAAAGAAATAAAGATATATGGTTCTCCTATTGATTTTAATAAATTTTGGTCATGTACACATTGCCATGTATTATGTCACCTCAGTATTTCTACTGCAAGTAATCATTTTCTCTTGCAGCAAAGATTATTAGTAGGATAAAATAAAACCACCATATTATTGACAGAGTCCAGATGATAGGAAATTATATCCTGCCTGTCTTGGGGAGGGCCTAGACATGTGGTTAAGGTTGGTCAGTCATGGGCCTGAACTCCAGGCCTGGGTGCTGTCCGCAGCTCTTCAGCTCAAGGCTAGCACTCTACCACTTGAGCCATAGTGCCACTTCCAGTTTTTTCTGTTTATGTGGTGCTAAGGAATCGAATCCAGGGCCTCATGCATGCAAGGCAAGCACTCTACCACTGAGCCACCTTCCCAGCCATGTCTGAAGTTTGTAAGGTTGGGTTTATGGAATTCCTTAGCAGAGTCATGAAGAAAGTTCTGGACAATGGAGGAATGACTGAGCTCGCTGTAATTAGAGGAGCACTGCATTTGGAATGAGCAGATCCTAGGCTTGTCCTCTATTGAGAGAGGGCAGGCAGGCAGAAAGGGAACAACCCCCACCTTCAGAACCATGCACGTCCAGCTACATTTCTCAAGCATCCATTCCAGTTCTGACTGACCACCGCTGGAGCCAACAGCCCCTTCTCAGGGACTTTCCAAAGCCTAAAGGTCAGCAGAGGCCACAGCTATCTCTCAATAGGTTTGGGGTTTGATGTTCCACACCCTTCAAGCCACTATCTTGCCTCCGAAGGCACTAGGCGAGGGAAACCACGCCCCACCAGAAAATGCGCTTGCATCTCCCAGACATCTTGACATTTATGTAGTACCGCTGGCATTATCATTAAACCCATCCATAAAAGTGCCTATCACTTGGTAGTTTGGTACTTTATCTTTCTTATTTGATTGGTCATAGGACTTGAACCTGGGACCTGGGCACTATCCCTGAGCTCTTTTTTTTTTTTTTTTTGTCTGTGGTGGAGCTTGAACTCTGGACCTGGGCACTGTCCCTGTGTTCTTTAGCTCTAGACGAGTGCTCTACCGCTTGAGCCACAGAGCCACTTCCAGTTTTCTAGTGGTTTATTGGAGATAAAAGTCTCATGGACTTTCCTGCCTGGGCTGGCTTTGAACTGTGATCCTCAGAGCTCAACCTCCTGAGTAGCTAGGATTACAGGTGTGAGCCACCAGTGCCCAGCTCCCTCAGCCTTTTTGTTCAAAGCTAGCACTCTATCTCTTTGAGCCACAGCGCCACTTCCAGTTTTCTGGTGGTTAACTGGAGTTAAGCCTCATGACTTTTCCTGCATGGGCTGGCTGTGTACCACAATCTAGGATTATAGATGTGAGCCACCAGCACAGTTTGGTACTCTTGACTCTGCTTGACTGAAATGATTTCTTCAGTAAATCCCACCGTATAAGAATCTTCTGACCCTATATTTTTTGGCAAGAGAAAGACCTGACATTTGTCTCTGGGGATATTATGTCTACCAGCTATCATCCATCTTTGAACAATGATTTTTACCTTTTTCAGGAGCAATTTCAATGCTGTGAAGTGATGTCATCTGTCCTCACAGCTGATGGATTATGGAGAGACAACCCAATGCATGGTGAGACTACTACTAATGTAAGTCAATCATAATTTCAATGACATCTTTCTGATCAAACCTGTTTGTAACTTTTGTGCCGGCTTGTTTTATTTTTTCTGAATGACCCCTATCCTAAACTACATCATTCAGTCTACCTCACCTGTAACTGAATTTAGTAGAGGTATAGAGGCTCATGCCCATAAAATTACCCATTTGAGAAGTAGAGGTATGTGGTGCCAGGCTGGCCGGGAAAAGAAACAGTGAGACCCTGTTTGTAAAGTAACTATAGCAAAAGAGGCTAAAAGTGCCAGGTACTGGTGGCTCACACCTGTAATACTAGCTACTCAGGAGGTTGAAATCTGAGGATCACAGTTCAAAGCCAGCCCAGGCAGGAAAGTTCACGAGACTCTTATCTCCAATGAACCACCAGAAAACCGGAAGTGGCGCTGTGGCTTAAGTGGTAGAACACTCGCATTGAGCTGAAGAGCTGAGGGAAAGTGTCCAGGCCCAGAGTTCAAGGCCCACAACCAACAAAAAAAAAGCTAAAAGTATGGTTCAAGTGGTAGAGCATTCGAGGTGTCTAATTCACTTCCAGTAATAATTCTTCACACTCAAAATTTAAATAAAGAAAGGGAAAGAAGGGAATGCAGGCTTCTGGGTTCTATTTTCAGAAATCAGATTAAGAACTTCTGTGTTTGGCTTCATGAATTTGCATTTCAGATAAGTGGCTGGAGGATCATAATTTGAGAGTATCACCTTCAAATAAATTCTTTTCCATTTTAATAGAACACACAGGAAATTGCCTGAACTGCTCCCGAGTGCCAGTTCTGAAAAACAAGTACAATCCCACACATGATTCTTCCAGAGATAAATGAGTGAACCTTGGAGATTCTTGGAATGAAAGGACATTACTAGCCGGAAAGCATTGTGACCTGTCCATAGCCTGCCCAGTGCCCATTCTGAACAGTAACCTCTGTAGGGGGCCTTGTTCTTAGAAAGCCCACCTCCAAGTTTTCCAGATTTTTACCTCTTTTGGTGATAGTATAGAAATGTAATCTTCATATATCATTCTGGCTTTTTCTTCAATGTCTTTTTTGTTCTGCTCTTTCTTTAAGTCTTCACAGGCCAGCCAGAAGAGTAGATTTTCTTCACTATACTCTGTTCGGAGGAACTCTCGGAAAAGATTTCTTCCCGCAGGAGTCTTCATCATCTTGTCAAAATTTTGAGACCAGGATAAGATTTCGTCCATGGTGGGGTTTTGACTGCAGACAGAATAAAGTCGTTATTGTTAAAGACAATTGACCGAGGTGAGCTATAAGGGAGAGCCTAAGAGCATCTGTTCCGTTACTGCCATCTACTGGTGCTTTGCAAATACTGCTAGGGATTGGCTCGGTCATTTTCGGGACTCATCTGGCATCATTCATTTATGCAGGAACAAAGATATATATGGGCAGCATAAATTACTAATGAAGACTGGAAATGTCTGAACTCTTCATAATATGTGGCAAATGGATAGAAATACCTTGTTACTTGAAAGAACACTGCTTTTTCCCCGTTGCTTCATATGTACATTGCCATTTTCCAGCTATAGGAAAGACTGCATTTTTTAAAAAGAAATCTCTAGTGAAAATATTTTCTTTAGTTACTAGGTCTAAAGGAAAAATATGCCTTATACACTTGTCAAAGAATTTTCTAAAACATTTGTTAAAAGGGAGGCTGGGGATGGAGATTTTCAGATATTTCTATGTAGAATTTCAGTGTTTATTTTATACTGAAGAATGCACCAGTCATCGATCCATTTTCTTATGCATCAAAGAAAGGACAGCAAGAAGCCTGGAGCGTCTTAAAGTTCAAAATGACCCTGACCTTGCCTTTGACATAAGTCAGATACACTTGGTCAAGAGTTACTTCTATTTTACTTTTTTGTTTTTTAACTTTTTGACCATGTTTTTGAAGTAGATTATGACTATACATTTGTTGCTATTCCATAATGGCTGAACCTCCTCAGTCATTTAAAATATTATAATTTTATTTTTTTTGCGGGGGGGTCCAGTCGTGGGGCTTGACTTTTGGGCTTGGCACTGTCCCTCAGCTCTTCAGCTCAAGGCTAGTATTCTACCACTTGAGCCATAGCGCCACTTCTGGCTTTTTTCTTTTTGCTTATGTGGTGCTGAGGAATCGAACCCAGGGCCTCGAGCATGCAAGGCAAGCGCTCTACCACTGAGCCACCTTCCCAGCCCCAAAATATTATAATTTTAAAAGTCTCAAATCGCCATGATGCATCATTATTTAAAAATTCATTTAAAAAAAGGAGGATTTACCTATCATCACATGAAAACTCAACTGCGATTCTGATTTTATTCCCTAGGTATCACATTTCAGCTAATCATTTTGGAGAAATTTGGTGCAAATCTGTTCTGAGGGGAAGAGAAGCAACAGCCCTGGGGCTGCCTTTGCTACTGACGAGTAATCCAGTGTCTTTTGTATGTGTTTAGACTCTTTCCTCATCAAGGAAACATCAACGTAAAACTGCAAGAAAAGGGACTTAAAAAACAAGGCAGTTTTCTCACCGGAAGCATGCAATGCTCCTTGTTTCTAGAAAGCGATAGACATAGCAATGTTTTAACAGGTAATATAGCTAACAGAAAAGTTACGAAGTAATGGTCTCACAGATGGTACAGACATTTATTTCACACCAGGAGTACCATGAAGCGTAAGATGATAGATACAAGCCGCATATAAAACCGAGAGGCAGCTGGAGCACGGACAGCACACTCACCATTCCTCCAGGACCTGGATGCTCTCCATTTTGGTGGTGTGGGTGGGTCTCCCAGCAGTCTCTCCTCTTTCTTCATTCCTAACAGTGAGGCTGAAATAAAGCACAACACTCAGTGGTGGCGAGGGAACGTCGGTGAAAACAAATAGCTTTGCAAGAGAAACATTCTACCCTCTGGTGGTGAAATGTTTTACTGTCAATTATTTGAGGACATTTAAAGGATAAAAGAGGAATAACACTTTTTAAATAATGGCTATTCTTGGGGCTGGGAAGGTGGCTCAGTGGCAGAGTGCTTGCCTAGCATGCATGAAGCCCTGGGTTCGATTCCTCCGTACCACAGAAAAAGCCAGAAGTGGTGCTGTGGCTCAAGTGGTAGAGTGCTAGCCTTGAGCCAAAGAAGCTCAAACACAGTGCCAAGGCCCTGAATTTAAGTTGCAGGACTGGCAAAAAAAATAAAAAATAAAGTAATAATAATAATACTTGTTATTCTGTGTCAATTAAAAGGAAGAATACGTTTTAATTAAAAATGATGAACCAAACCAGTATTCCCAAATGAATATTATTACTCATTCTAACTTAATCCTTACAGAATATAGGTGACTTAACACCTCTGATATAACTAACTATGTGCTTTAATAATTGAAATATATTATTACATTACCCCTTACATGGAAAGTCATTTTGACATTTGGGTACTTCTTGTCATAGTTTGTTTTCAGTATTTGTCTCTATTAGAATGTAAGAAGACAGAAGGCATCAGAAGCTAGCGTAGATTTTGTTGAGTTTACACCAGGACTGCTGAAGCGTGAGCTCGAGTTTGCTCTCCTTCCCAGTTAGTCCTTTTCCACTGTCTTTCACTGCCCGCCTGTTCTGAGGACTCAGCTATTGTACGGGATTAGGGAAACCAGGATAATCCATAGCAATCCAGACTGAGAATAAGAACTGTTTGGCTCCAGTGAACTGCACCTGAGCAGTACTTTGGTGTGAGACAGCCAAGGCTCTGGGTACACACTAGAGCTAAGGGGGAGGGTATGAGTAGATATAAAGAAAGAAAGGGAGGAGCCTAGTGTAGCGGCCTGTCATCCTAGCTATTTGAGAGGTATGGGGATCAGAGTTCAAGGCTGGAGTTCATGAGATCCCATCTCCTCATTGGCTGGGGACAGGGGCACACCCCTGATAGCTCAGCTATGAAGTCTGGGTACAGTGGTGCAGATCAGTTAGCTCCAGTGCCAAGGGCAAGCACAGAGAGGCTCTAGAGAGGACAATCTGGGCATAAAACAAGGCTCTACCTTGAAAACAACCAAGGCAAAAAGGAGCTGCAGTCGTGGTTCAGGTGGTACAGTGCCTGCTTTGCAAACAAAAGGCCCTGAATTCAATTTCTAGTACGAGGAGGAGGAGGAGGAGAGGATGGAAGAGGATAAGAGGAGGAGGGAAGGGAGGAAGGAGGAGTGGGGATGGGTGAAGGGGAGGAGGGGAGGAGCAGGAGGATGACTCAATGGCCTTGGGAAACCTGAGTTCCTAAATCAGCCCAGTGATTTCTAGAATCTTCTGTGTAGAAGTTGGGAAGCTTCATGGGGACCTCTCAGAGCAAAACAGGGCCAGATAGCATCTCTTACATTTGTTTCACTCATTCGTGTATTTACTACAGAAGAGGAGATCCAAGTTGTTTTTCAGTGGCTGTTCGATGGTTACCACAGGAAGCAGGCACTGGTGGGAAGAATGTGTCCACAGTGGTGATCCTTCCCACTGAGAAAGCCGGCCGACTGGGGAAAAGGAGAACCCAGCAGAAGCCAGAAAGAACTCGCTAATCAGAAAAAGCACCCCTCGAAGAAAATACTCATCATTTAGTGGTGAAACTGAGTTCTCCTGTACACTTGTTAAGGAAATTGACTGGAATAGAACCATGGAGACAAAGGAATAAAACTGGTGCAGCCCAAAGACCATGGGAAGCAGAACCTAGAGCTTGTTGATACTGGAATGAGCGGTCCAGAGTGGAGGCCGGTGGGAAGATGGCAGCACCCCCGCCCCCCCGCATCCCCAGTCGGGAGAACTCAGTCTTCGGAAGGGATCCAGAGAAAGCAGTGTCATAGTTTAGTCTCTGCATGTTGATATTGAAGCTTGAGGTAGCCTAGGAAACCCCAGCCCTCTGTATATTAATAGCCATGCAGGTCAAATATGTCTTTAAAGGAGATTTATTCCTTCCCAAAATATGTCTGACTGGGAAAGCTTCTCTGAAACTGGAAAGTGGTGGTTGTACCACTGAAAATATTCTGTGGAAATTTCCTGCATCTATAACACATAGAACTATGTGTGAGTTCTAGAAAGATTCTTTGTAAGTAGGAATTAATACTCCCTCTGCTAAGCTTTGTTAATCTTGTATGTGTATGTCTACACACATATTAAAACACAGTAAGAAGATTAGAAAGAGATCTTTTTGCTGATTACATAATGACTTCATGAGAGCTCACATCCATCCACATGTCGTCCTATAAAACAAGAGGACACCTCCCAGGGAGAATCTCCGGATGGGGGTGATGATTCTTCATAGGCTTCTCTTGCAGTGCAACAGATCTGGAATCTGATTCACAACTTTCTGAGCATGAATGCTGGCTCTTAGATCTGTCTCTCTGATGTTTACAAACATCCCAAATGGTACCATATTAGAATGATCGTTTTAAAATACTGGCTTGTGTTTACCTCTTGCCTGTCTACAGATGGTAAAACATGGACACACATTTGGTCTAAAACTACTTATAACAGACACTTGAGAAAGAAGAAACAGTTCACTGTGGGGACTTGATCTACTTTTTAACAAAATCTTAGTTCTGTAGAAAGAAAATGAACTTTGGCAATGTGCAATTAATCTTCATCAACTGCCCTTACTAGCATCTATGTTGTGATGAAGAGTAATCCTAAGGAAATAAACAAGGGGCTGAGGCTGGTAGTCAGACTTTCCCATTGTTTCACAGAGGAGGCAAGGATTCATTAGGTTGAAAATGAGCAGGTGTAGCTAGATGGAACCGGATAGAGGGATACCTAGCAGAGGGGTGATCCAGTCCTGTAGAGGCTGGGACTGTGAACAGCATGATCAAAACGGAGGAGAGAATAGACAGATGAGGGGCTCTGGGGAGTGGGGAGCAGCATATAATGAACCAGGAACACAATGACGTGGACTCCAAACAGGAAGCCTCTCTCATTTAGTTCCATGCTTTGTTTTCCCCACTTATAATAGGGATAAAAGTAGTAATCTGCTTCACAAGGATGTAAAGTAATAGATAAGAACAATTATAAATATTTCACCATTAAAAAAAAACCCAAAAGGCAAATGCCTAATAGAAGGACAACTTGGAGCCAGGCGCTGGTGGGTGGCTCACACCCATCATCCTAGCTACTCGAGATGCTGAGATCTGAAGACTGCAGTTCAAAGCCAGCCTGGGCAGGCAAATCCATTAGACTCCTATCTCCAATAACCACTAGAAAAACTGGAAGTGGTGCTGTGGCTCAAAGTGCGAGAGCACCAGTCTTGAGCAAAAGAACTCAGGGATAATACCCAGGTTCCCAGTTCAAGCTGCACAACCAAATGACCAAAAAAAAAAAAAGAAAGAAAAGAAAAAGACAACTTGGCTGCAGATTAAAATGATAATCCCAACATCTCAACCTTATCAAAGAGTTTTTTTACTTCAAACCCAGTAAAAGAGACTTACACATCTCTATTACGATCACACACATCAGGATCAGCATGCATTCATTTACTGCTTTTCTCAGTCAATGTCTAGTCAGCACACCAGGGGTCAATCCTTCCCCATTCCTAGTTTGTTTACAAGGAAACTCTCACATACCCAGGATTAAAAGAGCCCAGGGTTAGGGGGAAGCTGGGATCCTCTGCCTTTCTGCTCCGTCCTCATCTTCTACAACCTAACCCTCACTCTAACCCTCATCCTAAACCTAATGCTAACCCTAACCCTCACCCTAACCCTAACCCTCACCCTAACATTAAACCTAACCCTCAACCTAACCCTCACCCTAAACCTAACCCTAACCCTAACCCTCACTCTAACCCTCAACTTAACCCTCACCCTAAATCTAACCTTCAACCTCAACCTAATCCTCAACCAAACCATTACCCTCACCCAGTTTTCTTTACATGAAAGCCAGAACTGTGGTGTCTTACCTTTTCAATTATCTACACTACTACAGATCTGCAAAGAGAAGACTGCCTATGGCAAACTAGTATGCTGAGTGTGAACAGCACACTAGCAGCTCTTGGCAGGAACTGTGCCAGAGGCCCCAGTAGGATGAATAGCAACCTCTTTGCAATTGCTGGGGATGTGAGGTTAGCAGAAAGGAGGTATTACAGGGAGTTTGGCCTACTGAGCCTGAAAGAGGAAGGAAGGAGGTAATACCACTAACAACAGAACACAGTATGGCTGTGGTGGCCAACGGCTTCCCTGAGAGGTACATCTTCTTTCTGGCAACAAAAGTAAGTTCAGCAAAGGGAAATTCGGGAAGGAAAACAGAGATGATGCAGTTTACCAAAGACCATTAAGAAACAAAACCAAAACGACCAAACGAAGAGCACAAAGGCAGCAGAAGGTGGGGCAGTGGTCATACTGCATGCAGGACTTACACACATAAGCACTCAGGGGGGCTCAAATGGGCAACTTCAGCTTCATCTTCATTACTACATTTCTGTAATGCAACTTGAGTTTGACAGTTTGTAATTCATTTCTGGACACAAATAGATCATTTTCACGTGGTTAATGCAATGTCTAAAAATCACAGGCCACATAAGAAGTCTCACATTTCCGGATTGTAAATGTTTTACATTTCTAAGTCCTATGTCAAGAAACAAGTTTCTAACTCCGTTTTGGCTTTAGTTTTCTATATCGGAGCTTCTGAAGTAACTTAATCAGCTATTAAAAATCTTTCCACTAGATGGCTGTGTTTCCTTTTTAAGTACAATGGTTTTCTCCTTTGGTTCCAAAGTCACTTGATTTGGGATACATCAGTCTTAAAAAGGGGCAGGTCTGGTCTTATTAACATTGTCCTTATGCTTTCCAGTAACAAGTTGTCTTGCTCTGTGCTGCCTTATG